TTTTTTTTTTTTTGTGGAACCAGGGATTGAACTCAGGCCCTTGTGCTTGCCAGGGAAGCACTTATTCCACTGAGCCATCTCCCCAGCCCCTTTGGTAGCTTTAGTCACTTCTTAAAATTTGTATTTCTAGGGCCAGGGAGATAGCTCAGTAGAAAAAGTGCTTGCCTGGCAAGTGCGAGGGCCTGAGTTCAATCCCCAATTCCACAGGGAAACAAAACAAAACAAAACACCCAACAACTTGTATTCTGGGGCCTGCCAAATAGCTTAGTGGATTAAAGCGCCTACAAGACGTACACGGACCAGGGGTTCGATCTCCAGGCCCACCATGCTGGCCCTGCCCCCAGGGCGTACTGCAATGGCAATTGAGACTGGGTGTGATGGCAATTGAGACTGGGCTTAGTGGCGTGCCTGTAATCCCAGTTTTTGGGAGACTGTAAACAGGCAGATTATTACGAATCTGCTCAAGTAGTGAGACCCTGAACACCCTGTAGACCCTTCCCTAACATAAAAAAATCCTGGTGTTTGGGAAATTTGAGGCAGGAGGATTGCTGGGAGTACCAGGCCAGCCTGGGCTACACAGTGAGTTTAAAGTCAGCCTGGACTAGTGAGACCCTGTCTCAAAAATAACCAAAACCAAATGAACAGCAACTGCAACAATGGATAAAAGCTAAAATAAGAAGGGAGGTTTTAAGGACCTTTCCTCCCAGGAAGCAAGTCGATGACGACTCCTCTATAACCTCTGGGTTAGATTTGGAAGAATTCAGAAATGCAGTTTCCTTTCAATTCAAACCCTGTCTTTTATTTAGAGCCAAATCCCACAAAGTCACCTGTTTAAAACAAGATCCCACTGCTCTGTTTATCTATATAAAGCCAAAACAAAGTGCATTGCAGTTCCACTCATTTCCCTTCCAGTAGGTTCAGAGCTTTTTCTTATTTCTGATAAACCCCAACTTCTACGATTTTAAGTTTGTGAGTCAAAGAGCTTGCTTGGGTTTACATAAAATCAACTGCTTCATATTCTTGTTTTGCTTTCTAAGAAACTAGAACTGAATTTAAAACTTCAAGAAAATCACTCATTCTAGGTAAATGGAGACATTTAATGCTTCAGTAGTTTCTAATCTTCCATTACCTTACAACCATTTAAAATCATTCTGAATTATATGCTAAAAGCGAGTGGCTTCATTTCGAAAAAAGTAGTAAGGCACACATCTTAAAATATTAATGATGTAATAAATATCAAGAGCTGTTTTGGGCAAGATTTGACTAAAGCTCTTGAAACTTACAAGATAATGCCTAGCTATATTGGCCATGGATAGAAACACGCGCTCCAGCCCAAATCCCTAAATTCTGTCTTCTGCCAAGATTGTGTGGCCAGTATCCATAGAGACTAGCAAAGGCGTCGGGGTGGCTTCTTCTTGCACAGTTTTAGGCTGCTCGCCTTTTCGGTGGGAGGAAAAAACCTGAGGGGTGCCTGGACGCGCGACACCGTTTACGTTGAGTTTCCCATGGAACCACAACTCCCAGGATGCACCAACCCCAGCGCGGTCAGAGGGGCCGCTTCCGGTTTGGGCCAGTGCGGCTGCGCACCATGTGTGGTCTTATTGGCTCAAACTGCCTCGTGCGATGCGCGTCACGGCGCCGTGCAGTCGTGGGGGCGGGGAGACGCGGTGGCGGCTGTGGCAGCGGCGGGAGCTCTATCCAGGGGCGGTCTCGCGGTGGAGGCAGCGACTGCGCCTACACCGGGTTGGGTCCCCTCCCTCCTCCATTCCCCCTCCTCCCCTTCCCCCTGAGCGGTGGTTTCCTAGGAGTCCGAGACGTGCGGCCAGGCGGTGACAAGCTCCGGGTAAGGGTCTCTGGAGTGCGAGCGCTGCTTCCCCGGGTCGGGGAGGAGGCGGGCGCCGAAGGGGCAGCGGTACCGGGCGCGGGCCGGACAGCGCGTGTGGCCCTGGCCTTCGGCTTGGCCCCCAGTCCGTCCTGCCGCCTCCAGGGGAATGCGGTGGCCGGAGGCTACCGTCCGGGGCCTGGCCGGACCCGCCCTCCCTGTCCCTGGTGTCACAATTGCCGGCGCCCGCTGCCGCTCGCCCCTCGGGGCGGATGGTCAGCCCCGGACCTTGTCGGTCTCTTCTCTGTCGGGTGCAGCGTCCGTCCTTACTGCCCTCGGAGAGACCTGCCCGCTCTTCCTTCATCCCGGGTTTTTATCACTTCTAGGAATTTCTTTGGATGGTTCTGCTCGTACTACTATCGCAGTGGCTGGGATGGGAAGCTCTTCTGTACCTTTTCTTAGGTGGCGCTTCAGGCAGCCCGCTGGTGACAGTGTCCTGGGCCCTGTTCTCCCAAGCTCCGTTTGGTTGTTTTTTTCTCAACTGTAATTTCTTTTGAAATTGCAGGTTACTAGGTTATACACTTAAGTTCTTCCGGGGTCTTTGAGAAAGTTTAGGTTGGTAACCTCCCCCTCCTGGCTTTTGACCTTGGTTTAAATGCTTGCCTTTGAGATCTTTACAACTTTAAGAGATGGTCCCACAGTACATTTTGTTAGATTAAATGTCCAGCTGAGTTTGTGGAGGCTGTACAGTACTTAATTACAGGTTTTTATTTATTTTGTGTATTTTTGTGTAGTGGTCTTTTAGTATTAAAACTTTTATTTTAGACACTGGATTTCTCAGCCTGTCTTACTATCCCCACGGTATTCATCCCTGTCCTCTTTAAAACGTCGAGGTATCTGTCATGACATTTATAATTATTTGATCACGCATTTTCCCCAGTGAAGTGCTAAACTGAAAGCTTTATTTTTTGAAGAGGGATTATAAGCTTTGTCTGTTCTGAAGTTTGAGGTGTTCTTTTCAAAGGGTACTTTAAACTGGCTATGCCTGTAATCCTCAGTACATGTGGTAGCAGCTGATTGGTGGTGAATTATGAAATTTGGAAAAATTTAAAATTAAATATGAAAGACATCTTTTCCTTTTAGCTTCTATTTGTAGTTTATCAGTTATCTGTATGTTTCTCACTAACCTTTGGGCTATTTGCGGTATGAGGTATAAGAGTATGATTCCCAGAATTTATGTTTTCCATCCCTGTAATGTATAGATAAATGAATAGGTTTTTCCCATCAACAGTTTCAGTTTACTAGTGTACTTTTTTCCCTCCCTGTGGCACTGTGGATTGAACCCAAGGACTTTACGCTAAGCTTGAGCTCCAGCTTTTTTTTTTTTTTGAGAAAGAGTCTCACTAAAGTTGCCCAAACTGAGCTCAGATTGTACTCCTCCGGCCCTCACTTCCCACAATGTTGTGATTAAAGGCATGGTGTATGCTTTCTTTAGTATAAATTACATTTTATTTTCCTAAGTGAAGATAATTTAGTTTCTTTTAATATTTAAATTTTTTTTTTTTTAGGGCTGGGGAGATGGCTCAGTGGAATAAGTGTTTCCCTGGCAAGCGCAAGGGCCTGAGTTCAATCCCCGGTTCTGCCAAAAAATAAAAAATTTTTTTACAGAGATTATAGGGCCGGGGAGATGGCTCAGTGGAATGAGTGCTTCCGTGGCAAGCACAAGGGCCTGAGTTCAATCCCTGGTTCTGCCAATAATTAATTAATTAATTAATTAGAATTAAAACAAAAAGTTATAATGATAATAGAATTTCACTTAACAAAGTAATAAGGATTTCACAATATTTGTTGTAATAAATATCAAGAGCTCCTGTTTTGCAGAAGATTTGACTAAAGCTCTTGCGACTAGTTATTCATATTGCCAGATATATGCATGTGTTGTTTTTTGAAACAAGGCTTCACTATGTAGTTCACAGTGGTCTTGAACTGACTAGCCCAGGGTAACCTTAGACTCTTGGCAGTTCGGCTATCTTATCCTCCCAAGTGGTGGGTTTGCAAGCATGCTGTACCACATCTGAGTGTGTTCTTTCATAGATTGTCTAACTTTACAGCTGACAGGCCAAGTCCTGCCTGCTGCCTGTTTTTGTAAATTTTTTTGAAAAATAGTTTTTTTTTTTTTTTTTTTTTTTGAGATAGGGTGTTGCTGTGTCATTCACATTAGCTTTAAATTCTCATTGTAGTCCAGGCTGGTCTCGAACTCAAGGCAACGCTCCTGCCTCAGCCTCCCAAGTGCTAGTATGACAGGTGTGCACTACACCTGTCCCAGTAAGTAAAATTTTTATGGGAGGACTGGCCTGATAGCTCAGCGGACTAAAGTGCCTGCTTAGGCAAAGGGCAGCAGTCAGGGTTCCTCCAGTGTGCTGTGCTGTGCTGTGCTGGTCCTGTCCTGGTCCTGTCCTTGGGGCGTGCTGAGAGGGCGATTGAAACTAGCCATGGTGGCATACGCCGGTAATCCCAGCATTTGGGAGGCTGAAAACAGAATCACTATAAGTCCGATCTACATAGTGAGATCCTATAGACCATGTAAACCCTGTCCTAAATACAGAAAAAAAAAAATTATTGGAACATAGCCTTTCAGGTATTATCTGGGTGATTTTGTGTTTTCTGCACTGAAGATCTCTTTCCAAGGGTTTGGTGAAACAAGCTTCCCTCATTTGTCCTACAAGATACAAGGAGAAAATTCAGGATTGATGATGATGACGGTTAATAATGAATATTAATGAGTTGTTAGACAATTTCCACTGCTATGTGTGCATTAAGTCATTTAATCTCATTAAACAGACTGGAAATATAAACTATTCCTATTTTACAAGTGAGGAAACTGAGGTGTAAAGTTAGGTAACTGTTGACTCAGCAAGTAAAGGGTGAAGATGGCATCTGAATCCGTGTATTCTGGTTTCAGAATCCAAGCTCTTAATATGCTAAACAGTTTTCTCCTTATAGCACTAGTACTGCTTAGTGTAGGAAGTTTAGGTAGTCCAGAGGGATATAATGTACAGTTCCTCTGCGTGCTCTCATTTTTTTTCCTGGTTTCATTTGTTGTAGATGACCACCGTTAACAGTTTGCTGTAGATTGTTCTAGCTCTTTGCATATATATTTATTTAAGTCTGTCTACATATATAGAATTTTTTTAAAAATTCTGCCCCAAAATTCAAAGGTCCAATCCAAAAATGGGCGTCTAAGATGAGTATACACTTCTCATAGGAAGAAATACACAAT